GTCCCAGGCCCGGCCCCGCACGCTGCCTGGACCACAGGGCCTCCCCGTTACCACCAGCAGCCAGGTGTTTGGCTTTGCCCCTCTGGCTCTCCATCTGCAGATCAGCCTCCAGCTGAGGCTCCCGCAGGCAAAGGGAGAGGAGCTGGCTGGAGGGTCAGAACCACCGTGTGGCCAGGGAGACGCCACCGCAGACGGGCCCCTTCACAGCCCTCTGCTCCTCCCAGCTCCTCCCAGGGTCTGTGCTTAGCCTGTTTGACAGACGAGGAAACTGAGCCTCAGGAAGGGGGGGCACTCAGGGCTCTGGGCCTGCGCTGTCCTCTCCTGCTCAGATTGCCGTCTCCAAAGAGCATCATTCCGTCAGGAGCTGTCCCAGCCGGGCACACGGAGGCACAGGAAGCTGGGTTTGAGTTGAAACAAATGTTCCCCGGACACGTGTGTCCCTCTGCTCTTGGAGGAGTTTATTTCTCCTTTAGTTTCTCAGGAGAAGTTCCTTTGAGACAACTCCAGCCTCGTCTTAGCTGAACCAGGAACAGCATTTATCCTCCCAAGAGGTGCGCTGTTTGCCCTCAGAGGAATCTGGCTCTGTTGCTGAGCGGCTGTGTGATCCTGGGCAAGTCACTTCACCTCTCTGAGCCTCAGCTTTCTTCCTTATAAAATGGGAACAATTCTAATTCCAACCTTCCAGGGCCACTAGGAAGTTGGAAAATGGAAAACTGTCTCTGAAAAGATTTCTGCAGGTGGACGGCACTGAGACCATGAGAGCCCCGGGCCCGTCTCCCCTGGCCCCTTTCTGCACCCTGCTCCCCGGCCTCTCAGGCTGCTGGGCTCTGGCAGGGCCCAGGGTGGGGAAGATTCTGATTAAGGTCACAGAGCAAGTCAGCAGCAGTGCAGGGCCCAAGCCCAGGACTCCTGACCGCCCACTCCAGGCTGCAGAGCCAGCTTGCCCTGGTTTGAGTCCTGGCTCAGACACATTGCTGTGTGGCCTTGAGTGGGTGACTTAGCCTCTCTGAGCCTCAGTTTTCTCATCAACAAAATGGGGTAATAATAGCACCAGCCTTCAAGTTCCCTTGCAGGAATTTAATAAAAAGGATAAGCTAGGAAGGGGGGTGGGGCAGGAGTCCCTGGGAGGCAGGGAAGAGGAGAGTGAAAGCTCAGCTGGGTCCCCCCACACACACCCCAATGCAGCAGTCCTGCTGGGAGGAGCAACCTCTTATCAGCACCCAGTGGTGCTTCCCACCTCCGATCCCACCTCTCCCTCCCGGGAGCTCTGGGAGGGGGCGTCCTGTGACCCCAGGCTCCAGAGAGGAAGGAGAGGGGGCGGCCTGGAGCAGCACCCCGTATCGGTCCCCACTGCCCCTCCTGCCCTGAGCGGACGCCCTGCTCTCTCTCAGGGGTGCCCCCTGGGTGGGGATGTAGTTGGGGGGCAGCCGCAGTCACGTCCTGTGGGGCTGGCTGCTGCTGGTCCATGTTGGGGAGCCCCTTTGGGGGAGGGGAGGGAGGCGGGCTGCCCTCCTACCGAGGTGAACGCTGGGTAATCAGCTCATCTTGCCCCTTCCCACCGCCTGGGAGCCGTGCTCACTTGGCCTTGGCTGGGAGGCCTGGCTGGCCCAGCTCAGCTGCGTCTCCCTGGCAACCGTGATGGGCTGCCTCTGCCCTTCCCAGGACCCCCCACCCCCGCCACTGGCAGTCACCACCCAGCACATGCCAGGCCTGGGAGAGCTGTGGGCTGGCAGAGAGGGAGGCAGGCTGTCCCGCCCCCTGCCGCCTCGCCCTGGGAGGTAGGGCCCCCCAGGGTGTGCTGCAGAGCCGGCTCCTGCCCTCCTGGCTGTCACGGGGGGGGGGGGGGGGGGAGCTCTGCCGCCTGCCTGCCCGCCCGCCTGCCCGCCTTCGGGCAGCAGCTTTGTGATATTCTAGCTCACAGGCCCTGCAGCTCACCGGCTCCGTTAAGGTGGACCTGCACGTGGCTCTGGCTTATCCACAGACTGTGTGACATCACCACGGTCTGTTAGGACACTTTCATCATCACCCCAAAAGGAGCTCTTGCCATTAGCAGCCCTCCCACGTGGCCCTCCCCCAGCCCCCGCCCGTGGACACACATCCGCTTCCTGTCTCCGTGGGCATGGCTCATGGACGGAGCCCTGCGCTGTGGTCTCTGGTGTCTGGCTTCTCCCGGGAGCTCGGTGATTTCCGGTTCCCCTGTGTGACTTAGCCTCTCTGAGCCTCGGTTTTCTCATCTACAAAGTGGGGCAATAACAGCACCAGCCTTCAAGTCCCATTGCAGGAATCTAATAAAAAGGATAAGCTGGGGGGGGGGGGCAGGATCTGGTGGACCAGCGAGGCCCTGGGAGGCAGGGAAGGGAGAGTGAAAGGCGGGCTGTCAGCACCTCGTCCTCCTTCTGGCCGAATAACCTTCTACTATCTGGCCGAACGGCCTTTGCTCATCCGCTCGCCAACCGGTGGGTCTTTGGTTCTTTGCACTTTCTGGCTATTACGGAGAACGCTGCCACGAACATGCGGGTACGAGTTTTTGTGCGATGCTTCCGTTTCCTTCTCTCTAACATTTTGGGATAAAAACGCCAAACCCGGCCCACTCCTGCCTCCTGGAGTGAGCTCAGAGGGAAAGACCCAACCTCTGCTTGAGGGGCACGAGGGCCCCTCCCCCCTCCAGCTCTCCCGGCTGCTGGGGAGCAGGCGTCCCCTCCCCCAGCGATGGCAGAGCCAGGAACCCCCGCTGGCCGTGACCGTGACCAGCCCAGGGGCCGGCTCCAGTGACGGGGCTGAGTGATGCCTCTTCGCTCCTCCCGTCCGGCCGGGCGGTGTGTTGGGGGCTTCCTGGTCTCCGGACCCCCAGGAAGCCTTCCCTGGCCTGGTGAGCGCACCAGCCCACACACCTCAGGGTGGTGGGTTCCACTTCCAGCCAAGGGTGCCTACCCGGGTTGCAGTTTGATTGCAGACTCAGTTGGACTCATGTGGGAGGCAACTAATCAATGTGTTTCTCTCACATCAATGTTTCTCTTTCCCTCCCATCCCTTCCTCTCTCTCTCTCTCTCTCTCTCTCAAAAAAAAAAAAAAAAAAAAATCAATGGGAAAAAAATACCCTTGGGTGAGGATTAACAAAACAAAACAAGCCAACCAAAAAAAAAAGCCTTAAACTCTGCCCCAGGAACTCCAGATTTGGGGGCGGGCCAATATAGAGTCCTGGGATTCACCTCTGACCCCAGGACATTTGGGGGAGGGAGTGGGGAGGGAAGGAGTGGGGATTTGGAGGTGGAGAACCCATCCACTGACACCCACTTGACTGTGGACCCCAGGATAACCCAGCTTAGCCACGTCCGCCGCAGCCTGTGCGGGGTGGGCTGGGATCACAGTCCCATTGTACAGATCAGGAAGCTGAGGCAGGAAAAGTGCTACCCAAGCTCCGTAGCTACTACACAGCTGAGCGGCGCTCTTCCATCCGGGCGTCCGGCCGCTGGCCCCAGGGGCAGCTGCCTGGCCCAGGCTCAGCCCGCAGCCTGGCTTGTACCTGGGGCTTTTCTGCCTGCATGGGAAGTGTTCTCAGTCTCATTTTAAAATATATGTTTTTATTGATTTCAGAGAGGGGGAGAGAGTTAGAAACATCAAATGATGAAAGAGAATCCTTGATTGGCTGCCTGCTGCACGCCTCCTTCTGGGGATAGAGCCTGCAACGCCAGGCATGTGCCCTTGGCCAGAATCGAACCCTGGACCCTTCAGTCCACAGGCTGATGCTCTATCCACTGAGCCAAATCGGCCAGGGATCTCAGTCTCATTTCAGAGAGGAAGACATGGGGCTAAGGAAAAAGCTCTGCCTTCCCAAGAGCTCCCCGCGCCCTGGAGCTGTCCTAAGTGTGTAGCAGTCATTCGATCCTCACAGCAACCTCTCTGTAGTCACCAGTGCTAGCCCCATTTTACAGGCCAGGAAACGGAGTCAAAGCCAAGAGTGTTGACCAAGGCCTCACAGCCCACAGGCAGAGAAGACAAGATTCAAACCCAGGCCACCGGGGCCCAGAGCCCACCCACCACCCACCACTTTGGAACTGAGGTCACCACGTTACACACCACTGAGATTTAAACCCAGTTTTTTTTTTTTTTTTTTTTTTTTTTTTTTTTAAATATATTTTATTGATTTTGTACAGAGAGGAAGGGAGAGAGATAGAGAGTTAGAAACATCGATGAGAGAGAGTCATCGATCAGCTGCCTCTTGCACACCCCCTACTGGGGATATGCCCGCAACCAAGGTACATGCCCTTGACGGGAATCGAACCCGGGACCTTTCAGTCCCCAAGCCGACGCTCTATCCATTGAGCCAAACCGGTCCCGGCTAAACCCAGTTTTAAAAGCTGAGATTCAAACCCAGATCTGGGCATTTGAAACTGCCGACACCTGTGCCAAACGGGGTTCCTGGCCATCGTTGGCTGCTGAACCATCCCACCTCCCAGACCCCTGGGTGAGAGAATTGAGCTTGAAGCTGGAAGGACTTGGAGGTTGGCCTTCCTCACGCGGCGGGGAGAGAGGAGCGAGCTCTCCGAGGTCTCTTTAAGGGCACTAACCCGCTTCGTGGGGGCCTCACCCTCCTGCCCGCATCTACACTCAGCTGCCTCCCAAGGCTCATCCTCTAAATGCTATCACCCTGGGGGGGCAGGGGCAGGACTCCCACACGTGGATTTTCAGGGAATGCAGTTTAGCCCGTAGCAAGGTGGTGCGATTGCTCTGTCTTCCTGTTGAGAACAGAGTGGAGAAGGGCTGTGAGGTCCCTGTCACGGGCAGGCCGGCCCAGCCACCCAGACTTGTGCTCAGTGTCCGGCAGCTGTCTGTCCGTCCGGGATCACACCCACCTCTGCCTCTCTCTTCCCCTCCAGACGGAGCCTGTGGCTGCCGAGGCCGCTGAGCAGGGCCAGGCCGGGCCCTGCCCACAAGGACGCCGAGGCCCCTCACCGGCCCCGGGGCCCGGGAGCCCGCCAGGCTCTCCTGCCGGCCCCGCCATGACCTCGGAGCCCACGTCGCCCCCGGTCGTGCCCCCGCTCGACTCGCCCAAGTCCCCAGTCTGGCCCACCTTCCCCTTCCACCGGGAGGCCAGCCGGGTCTGGGAGCGGGGCGGCGTGGCCACCCGGGACCTGCCCAGCCCCCTGCCCACCAAGCGGACCAGGACGTATTCGGCGTGAGTACCTGCCCCTCACCCCGGCTTCGGTCCCCTCCTCCTCAGCCCTTTCCTTCCCAAGGACGGAGAGCTGTGAATGCACTTTCCATAACTGCTAGTGTTCATTCATTCATTCATTCATTCCACCAAGATTTACGGGCTCCTGACCAGGGGACCCGGGGCAAGTTAGATCCCACAGGCTGCACACAACCCAAAGGGGACTCGCCCACCATTCAGTCCCTCCGGCAGGCAGGGCAGGGCCGGGAGTGAGGACCCGCATGAGGCATCAGGGAAGGTGCCGTCTCAGCTGCGTTTGGAAGTCTAGCAGGCGGAGGCTGGAACAGCCCGGGCCAAAACGGAGGCACAGGGGGGCCTTTGGTGTGGGGTGGCCTCTGGGGACAGTCACTGGCTGGGGTGCATGAGGGAGGGGCTTTGTGGGACCCTCAGGGAGACTGACTTGCTTGGCTGAAGGAGAAGTTTTGTTTTTGTTTTCTTAATATTTTGTTTTTACAGAGAGAAAGGGAGAGGGATAGAGAGTTAGAAACATCGATGAGAGAGAGTCACCGATCAGCTGCCTCCTGCACACCCCCCACTAGGGATGTGCCCGCAACCAAGGTGCATGCCCTTGACCGGAATCGAACCTGGGACCTTTCAGTCCGCAGGCCGACACTATCCACTGAGCCAAACCGGCTAGGGCAGGAGGAGTGTTTTGATGGCAAGTGCCAGGTGACTCCCGTGTCCACCCCACGGCTGGCACAGAGCAGATGGTTAATGAAGGGGCACGTGACAGTGAGTGGGAGGGATGTCATGGCTTCAGGAGACAGTGCGGAGGGGGGCGCTGTGCAGAGAGGGGCGCTGGCTGGGGGGCCCGGGACCCACTGGCTGTGCCCGGGGGGCCAGCTCCCCTCACCGGGCCTTGGCTCCTTTGCTCTCTGGGAGGCTGGGAGGACGGAGTCAGCACCCCTGTGTGGCTTCTGGGCCGGGAGGCTGTGGGGCCTGGGGACCTCGGCCGCAGCTCCACTCCCGACCCTGTCCTCAGGACAGCCCGCGCCTCGGCCGGCCCCGTGTTCAAGGGCGTCTGCAAGCAGTTCTCCCGCTCACAGGGCCACGGCTTCATCACCCCCGAGAACGGCTCTGAGGACATCTTCGTGCACGTGTCTGAGTGAGTCCTGCCCGCCATGCCCCCCAGGACCCCCGGCTGAGCCCGCTCCTGGCATCCCACTCCCCCCCCCCCCCCGTCCCTATGGGGCTGGGATGTGTGGGAGGAGGGGGGCTGGGCAGGTGGGGAGGGGCCCTCAGACCCTGAGCTCTGGGAGCCAGTGGCTGAGCAGGGGGGGCCTGCAGCAGGGAGGGAGGGAGGGAGGGAGGGAGGGAGGGCAGTGGGCGAGGCCTGTGTCCCAGCCCTGATGCCAGGCGTGACCTGGGCAGTCACAGACCCTCTGAGCCTCACATCTCACTAACCCGCCCCAGCGCGGAGGTGGGGACAGTGTGTGGTCCCCGTTTTGCAGACCAGGGTGCTGAGATGCTGAGGGAGGCCCGGCCGTCCTCAGGCCGCGCTGCGGGGGGTGTCCGGGGGGGGGGCGGGGGGCCGCCATCGGGCTGACGCCCCTCTTCTGCCTCCAGCATCGAGGGGGACTACGTCCCCGTGGAGGGCGACGAGGTGACCTACAAGATGTGCCCCATCCCCCCCAAGAACCAGAAGTTCCAGGCCGTGGAGGTGGTGCTCACCCAGCTGGTCCCGCACACGCCCCACGAGACGTGGTCCGGGCAGGTCGTGGGCTCCTAGGCTGGGCGGGCGCCCCCCGGGGGGGACAGGCGGGCAGGCTCCTCGCCCCACGGCACTGGCCGGCCCGGTCCCCCAGGCAGCCTCAGTGCACACGTCTGTCTGTCTGTCTGTTTTGCCCGTGTGCTTCCATCCAGCCCCGTGACCTGTGACTGCTGTGTGAGCTGGACGGAGGGGGAGGCCACCGACCCGCCCTCTCTGCCTGTCCACTCTCCTTCCTCCCCTCCCTGCCATGTGGGCACAGGCCCTCTCGCCCCTGCCCACCTGTCCTGTGGCCACTGCACCACCAGAGCCTGCATCAGGCCTGGGCTGGGCGGCGGGGGCACCCGGGCCCTGCCAGGACAAGCTTCCCCGCAGCCTGGGCCTCTGGCCCGGCCGGACTCTGCCTGTCACTCAGCCTACCCTGGGCCCAGGCTCCAGTGCTGGCCGGACCCGCCCTCAGAAGCCAGGCCCTGAGCACTGCGGGGGGGCCTCCAGCCTCTGGCAGGAGAGTGGTGACAGGTGGAAGCCAGCAGGCCCTCCTCGGGGGGCTGGGCCAGGCCGCCTGCCTCCTCCGCCTCTCACTGCTCTCAGCCCACACTGGTGGCGGGAAAGGGCCTCAGGGCAGGAGGCAGCTTGGGACTCCTTTTGCTGGCCAGTCCCTCCTCCTCAGCCTGGCAGTGGCTCTGTGAACCCAACCTGAGGTCCCATCTTCTCCCCCGGCCAGGCGGAATCCTGCTGCCTCCATTTCCCCAGGAGGTGCGGGTCTGCAGAGGGGGGGTGGTGGACATCCCCCAGCTTAGATCTAGGCCTCCCCTCTCCCTGACTCACGAGCCCCAGGGACGCTCTGCCCGTGCCCAGCACAGTGGCTGGTGGGTGGACACAGCCCCTCAGGCAGGGCCAGGCGGGGCACCCACAGGAGCAGCATCAACCTGGGAGGCCACCAGCCCTGCCACCCTCTTCCCAAAGCCGAGTCGTGGCTCCCACCGGCCTCCAAGCCAGCGGTCGAGTTGTGGTTCCTGTTGTCCGTCCCTTGAGGTGTATGCGTGTGTGTGTGTGTGTGTTGTGTGCATTCACTCTTGGGTGGGGGGTTCCCCTCCCCCCATGCTCCCCTCCCAGAGCTGGTGGGGAATGAATGGGGTAGAGGGGGGCTGCCAGGACAGGCGGAGAGCTGGTCTGCGTGTAAACGGCTGATGCCCAGCGTGAGGCGTCAGTGACTGCCTGGAACCCCCAGCCCTGAGGATCCCCCAAGGCTCCAGGGCAGAGCCTGGCTGGGCTGTGTCCCATCGCTGCCCCAGTTCTTCCGAGGCTGGCAGCCCCCCAATGGGGAATGGCCCAGCCCACACCCACTCTCACTCTGAGCCGGGCGGCTCTGGCCAGGCCCCAGGCCTCTCCGTGCGGGAACAAGGACCCCCTGGCCTCCTGGGCAGGTTTACTGATGCAGGTTAGCCCCTAGGAGCCCACAAGGTCCCGTCGGAGAGCAGACCCCCCTTTGCAGGCCCTAGCGAGGGGGCTGTGGGACACCAGCCCTGGGGCCACCCTGGGCAGCAGAGGTCAATGGCATTCTGTCACTCACACCCCAGTGTCCAGTCACAAACCCTCCGGGGCCCCACCCAGGGCTCCGATCCTCCCTCACACTGGCAATAAACCCTCAACTGTGACTCAGCCTGGCCCGGAGCCGCCTGTCTGTCCGGGGGCCCGGGGGAGGGGCTGGGGGAGGACACCCCAAACCACCCTCCTTGCCTCCTGTGTGACCTGGGCAAGTCCCTGCCCCCCGTGCAAGAGGTGGCTGTCACAGCACCGACTGGCGCCAGTACCATCCGGACAGAGCGGACGCCACGCCTTGTTGGCAACTTTAATGTCTGTGATCAAGTTCTCCCAAGTGCACGTCTTCCCCCCCCTCTGCACCCTGCACCCCGCACCCCGCGGGGCCAGGCAGGCAGGCGGCCGTCCCGCACACACACGCCGCCTCCAGTGTGGACAAAACCCGTTCCGTTCAGAGGTACAAGCAGCAGTGGAGCCAGGGCCGTCGGGGTGCAGGACGGAGCGGGCTGTGGGGGGCGGTCTCCGCACAGGCCCGGCCTCCAGCAGGCGAGGCGAGGCGAGGCAGGCAGGCGTCACCATCCGGCACCAAGGGCGGGTGCCCGTGCGGCTGGGGGGAGGTCTCAGGAAGTGGGGTCACGCCTCGTGGGCCGTCTCTGGGAAGAAGATCTCTCGGCATCGCTGCACCGTGTCCTGAGGGGACACCACGCTGTGGCCCACCGTCCGGGGGTCGGCGTAGATCTCAAAGTCGTTCCCGCCCTGCAACAGGAGGCAGACAGGCTGGCGCCCTGACACGGCGCCCTGGGCTGGGGACCAGCCCCCACCCTGGCCTGGGCTCCTCCAGAGCTGCCCCTCAAACACCCAGAAAGCCCTCCTCCTTGGCCTGGACCGGGTCTGCCCTGACCTGCGGTGTGACAAGGGGCAAGTGTCCAACCAGCTCCAGGCCTCAGCCTTGCAATCTGTGCAATGGGCTGGCACGCACTGGCCGTTCTGTGGGCGTGTCCCAAGCGGCCTGTTCTCTCTGCCGTGTCCTGGCCTGGCCGGGGTGACGGGGCGGAGCACTCACCGGGCTGGTCTCATTCCCGAAGAAGTGGATGGTGTCGAAGCTCTCGGGGTCCAGGCTGTCCAGGCAGTAGCGCTTGTCCCAGCCCTCAGGGAACACGTCGAAGCTGATCATGCCGCCTGCAGGGGCGGAGGACAGAGTCAGCAGTAAGGCCCTCCGTCCATCCGTCATCCTCATTCCACAGCCCCGGAGCGGCTGCTGAGGCCCAGGCCCGGGCCCGGGCCAGACGGGATCCTCACGGGAGTTTCGGTCCAGGTGGGAGCAGCAGTCACAGGCCGGCCCGCCTCAGAGCAGGCGGCAGGGCAGAGGGGCGGGTGAGCACTCTAGCCAGCGGGTCAGGGGGGGAGGCCTGTCTGAGGAGGTGACACAGCTGAGATGGAAGCCAGAGAGGTGACGGCTGGGGAGCAAGCACAGCCCAGGGCAGGTAAACACGTGCCGTGTCCCAGCGACAGAGAGGGCAGAGGGAGGGCACGTGGGGCCCGGGGCCGGGGCCGGGGTTTCGTTAGGAGTGAGGAGCCGCTGCAGGGTCTGAGCAGGGGTGTGGAGTGGAAGTGAGGGGGCCATGGAGGCCAGCACACCTCGAGAGGGAAGCCTGGGACAAGGCTGTGGCAGTGGAGGCGTGAGCAGTGTCAGATCGCAGGAGCATTCCGGACCTGGGCCAGGACTTGCTGCAGACGCCATGGGAAGGTGGGTGAGGACCAGGGTTGGGTGGGGAAGACTGGGGGCCAGAGCGTACAGAGTGCTGCCTGTTCGGGCCCCAAGGGGTGGGAGGAGGCCTGGCACCCCCTACCTCGGGAGAACCTCAGCCCTTTGCCGGCAAACTCCGTCTTCAGAGCTTCCACGAACTTCTCCCGGATCCTCTCCTTCTGCGGGGAGGAGGGAAGCAGACCAGGGTTCAGAGGATGCGCGCCTTCAGCTGGAGAGCACGGCCCCACCCGACCGATGGGACACGGGGCTCAGAGCGGGGTCACAGCCTCGGTGGCAGAGCCAAGGCCGGACCCGAGTCTGTGGCAGAGCTCAGTGCCAGCCCCTGCCAGTGGGAGGTGGCGGGGTCCCCAGAGGACAGCTGGGAGTGGAGGCTAAAGGAGGGAGGCTGAGGGGAGAGGCAATCCGGGTCCCGGCCATAGACAGGAGCAGGAGGAGCGAAGAGCCTGCGGAGGCCTGTGGGTAGCAGCGGGGGGCGCTCAGGGGGTCAGCAGGAGGCCGGGCACCCCCATAGCACCAGCCTCCGTGCTGAGCACCTCCTGAGTGCAGGGGGCAAAGCTCAGCAGGAGTGGCCCTTCCAAAGGCGGGCGGGACCGTGGTCTGTTCCCAGCACAGATCAGAGAGAAGGCGGAGGAGGTGGGCCGGCCAGGCAGACCCCGCAGGCTCAGGCACCTGGGGAGGAGGCTGGGCCAGCGCCCAGCTGGAAGGGGGCCATGGAAGGCTGAGAGGGGAGTAGACGGGGAGAGGATGAGCTGTGCCAGGCTCTCCATGGCTCTGCTGGAAAAGGCGATTTGGTGGTGCAGGGGACACACAGGTGAACAGACCTGAGACCACCGTCGAGGCTGAGTGGACAGGAATGGCTGTTGGGCCCAGGTGGGTGGAAAGACGCCCACGGTGTGAGCTGAGGAAATGAGGCGCTGGCCGAGCTGGTCCCCGGGGCGGAAACCAGCAATGCTGGGAAGATGCACCTGGGAGGTGCCTACGGGGCACTGGTCCTATCAGAACGCCCCTCCCCTCCCTCGCACTGGTCCTGAGGGAGCCCCACGCTGGCCTCAGAGGGCGAGGGACGGGGGTCCCATCGCCAAGGCGGCACCTTGTCCAGCTCAGAGAACTCGATCCGCTCCTCCAGGCTGCAGCTGCGGCCGATGGGCGAGATGTTCAGCATGCCGTTCCGGAACTCGATGAAGGTTCCTCTGTGGCGATGGTGGGAGGGAGGGAGGGCAGGGGTCGGAGAGGAGAGAACGGCCCTGAATTCCACCCAGCTCTCCCGGGCCTCACAGGGGCGAGAATCCACCACCAGAGTCAGGGCCGGAGCACCCGCAGGTCCCATCGGAGAGACCCACCCTTCTCCTCAGGCCCAGGACGGAGAGGAGGGGCGGGCGGGCGGGCGGGCTCACCGCTTCTTGGGCAGTTTGAGCAGCGCCATGTAGCGGAGGCAGAAGTTGATCAGGTCCTGCAGCAGCTCCTCCCCGAGGTGGTTCTGGATGGTCTGGGCAAGGGACAAGGGCTCTGAGGACGGGCTGGGCTGCACCTGCCGCCCAGGACTGTCTCTGGGGCGGTGTCCCGGGCTAAGGCCCAAGGGTGGGGCGGGGGCACTGACCTGCTTGGAGAGCAGCCGTCCATGCTTGTATTGCACCGTCCCATTCTCGGCAAACACGTAATCAAACTTCTCAATGACTTCAGGGGCGTGGAGAGGCCAGGGAGAAAGAGGGAGCATGAGACCAGGCACCCAGAGCTCGGGAGAGAGAAAGCTCCCACTTCTTGGCTTGGCATTCGAAGACCTTTTGTTACACCCCGACCTGATTCTCTGTATTTCTCACTTCCTGCAGCCTTGGTTTCTTCCAAACAGGCCAACAGGCCAGGCACCCCTCTTCTGTGCTCATGCAGGTCACTCAGCCTGGGACGCCCTTCCCCCCTTCCCCCTCCACTCCCCGGAGACCCGGCTCCCCGCTCCGGTAGCCTCCAGGACTGCCCAGCAGAGGGCGGCATTTCCACGTGGCGCTCCCCCAGTCCCCAGCACGGGGCTTTGGTTTGGCTTTACAGCTCCCGTGACAGCGGTCAGGGCTGGTGGCCTGCGAGTTTAGTCTCCAGCTCTGGCGGCCCTGAGCAGGGGGCGGGGTGGGGAGGCACCAGAACACAGCCAGAGGCTGCAGCAGGTCCGGGAGGAGAAGGCCGCCTGGACAGTGGGGGAGGGGGGTGGACATGGAGGGGTGGACACAGGGAGATGCCGCTGGACTGGCTGATGGAGTGAACGAGTGGGTGGGGAGAAGGGAAATTCATGGACATTTCTGGTCTGAGGAGCCGGAGGAGCTGCCTGAGCTAAGATCAGGAACTCAGCTGAGAACCGGGGTTCTGGGCCCAAAAACTTCCCGGGAGACATCAGAACCCTCCTCCTCTGTAAAATGGGGTAGTCATGTCCGCCCTGAAGCAGAGTTGTGAGGGTTAGATGAAAGGAAGTCAATACACGGTCATTTTCAACAAATGGTAGTCGTTACTGATTATGCCCATTTTAAAGATGAGGAAATGGAGACTCAGCAGGAAGAACTGAGACTATAAACCCCATAAGGACAGGATTCTGCCTGCCTCGTTCCCTGCCAGTGTCTCCAAAACAACAGAGCCAGGCTCCCGGGAGGTGCTCCCGGCATGGCTGCTGAGACAGCGAGGGAGGCGTCTGGCTGTTCCCTCTCCTTCCTCTGCAGAAACAGGAGGGGGTCTGTGGACCTCCCGAACTTCCCTCACCCACACCAGCCCGCCTGTGGGCCTCTGGAGCCGGTTCTGGCCTGCTTGTCCTACCTTCATCCCCCTCTCCCAGCTGCTCAGCAATCTTGGAGTAGTCCGAGCCGCCCACCACGCCGATCTGCACCCGACTTCGGAGCTTCTGCAGGAAGGCAGCCACCTCAGGGTCAATTTTCTGCAGGGGGCAGGGAAGCACAGAGTCCGCTGTCAGCACGGCTGGGCTTCCCCTCAGCCTCCACTTGGTGCTCAGGCTCCGAGGGCCCATGTTCCACCTGGACCTGAGGCAGCTCAAGGCTTAAGCACAGACCTGGAAGCAACCAGAGGCACTTGGGTTCAGACTCTGGCTCAGGTCCCTCCACCGCAAAACGACCCTGAGCAAATGGCTTTGCCTTTCTCTGTCTATAAAATGGGGGTCATGGGAGCGACACCTGGAGGGGGCCAAGCAATTAACTAGCCACCCATTAGGTGGAAAGGTTACCCATCAAAGAGATGCAAACTAATGAGTTTTCATCCATGTTTTCAAACAGCCCAGTATTCAAAGCTGATAATATCAAGGGTGGAAGGGGATACAGAGGAAACACACACACACACACACACACACACACACACACGCTCAAACGCTGAGTGTGAATTGGTACAGCCATTTTGGAGGGTAACAAGGCAAGATCTATTAAAACTTAAAATGCTCGGGCCCCATACCCAAATTTCCACTTTTCTTTCTCACGTGTATATGGAGGCCCATTGGTTTTATAATAGTGGAAAACTACAAGCAACATACATGCTCGTCAATCAGAGAATGGCACACGCCTGTTCTGAAATATACCGCGGTGACACAGAATAAGGCAGACCTTGTACTTCTTACATGAGAGCCCCAAGACATGCTTGTTGTCAAAAGCAAGCTGCAGCCAAGACTGGTTTGGCTCAGTGGATAGAGCGTCGGCCTGTGGACTGAAGAGTCCAGGGTTCGATTCCGGTCGGGGGCATGTACCTTGGTTGCGGGCTCATCCCTGGTGGGGGGTGTGCGGGAGGCAGCTGATTGATGTTTCTCTCATCGATATTTCTAACTCTCTGTCCCTCTCTCTTCCTCTCTGTGAAAAATCAATAAAATATTTAAAAAAAGAAAAAAAGTGAAAAAAAAAAAAAAAAACAAGCTGCAAGCCTGGCTGGGCAGCTCAGTGGATTACCCGTGGGTTAGAGCATCATCCTGATACACCACGGTTGCTGGCTGGATGCCCAGTCAGGGCACATACAAGAATCAATCAATGAATGCATAAACAAGTGGAACAACAAATCAATGTCTTTCTCCCCCTTCCTTTCTCTAAAAGCAATTTTTAAAAAACCATGTTGCAAGAAGGCACCACAGTATGATGTTATGATAATATTTTTTGAAAGCCTCATAAAACAATGTATTCTATTTCCTCTGGATAAACAGAGACCTGGATAAAGATCTGGGAGGAAGGAGCCACACAATAGGCAACCAGGTTACTTTGGGGAGAGGGTTGCATCCTGACACAGTCAGAGGGGACTTCAGCCTTCTCTGTTGTCATTCTTTGCAAGAGAATGCATTTATGAATACTTGCATAATTAAAAATTAACTTTTAAATATATTTTATTGATTTTTGTACAGAGAGGAAGGGAGAGAGATAGAGTTAAAAAACATCGATGAGAGAGAGTTATCGATCAGCCGCCTCTTGCACACCCCCTACTGGGGATATGCCCGCAACCAAGGTACATGCACTTGACTGGAATCGAACCCGGGACCTTTCAGTCCCCAAGCCGACGATCTATCCATTGAGCCAAACCGGTTTCGGCTAAAAATTAACTTTTAAAAAAAAGCACTAAGGACAGGGTCTGACAACATAGGTGGACAGCACGAACACACGGTTCTTGTATAGGCTGTTGGGTCAGAGAGCAGAGTCAGAGGAAAGGGTGGGAGCTGTTCCCAGACCAGCCTCTCCCTCCGCCGTCACCTTTCTCCCATCCCTGAGGACTGCCGGAGGGCAGGGAGGCTGGATTCCTCCCTGTGCCCCAGGGCCCAAGCCGGGGCCTTCCCCAGGAGACTTCAGGACCCAAAAGGGGAAGGAAGCTAAGACCTGTGTTCCCATCAGCCTCTGCCCTGCAGCCCCGCCCACCGGCTCCCCCGTCTAGAACCCTAAGTAGTTGGTCCTTGTGACCCCAGCCTGGTGAGGAAGGGCCCGGAGGCTCATCCAGGGTGGAATCCAAAGGGATCAAAACTGGAGCAGAGGCTAGAGAATAAATATGGTGAGATGCCCTTCAAAGAACGGCACCCCCACCTTCCCAGCGCCACAGAACCCCCAATGTGACCACGTCGGGCCTGGGAACTCTCACCTCCAGGTGGACAGAGCCCATACTCAACGGGAAAGTACAGTGAGCCCTCCCCGTCCCCAGCGCTGGGGTGCACAGTCAGGTGGAAGAGTGGCTTGAGAAACCAATCCAGGCCGGGGCCTGCAAAGGTCGGGTGGGATAGTTCTGAAACCCCTTTGCTCCCACGAGATGGCCTTTGGGTGCGCTCCAAGCCCCATCGGAAACCCTGGGTGCAGAGCCAGTTTACGGCTACCCGTGCGTGCGTCCTGGGGCTGAAACGGGGAGCGCGCGGCTGGCGAGCCGGGGGCGTCCGAGATCCAAGCCCCGGCGTGTGGAAGCCTGGCGGAGGGGGAGGGAGGGGAGCCAAGCCCCTGCTGCAGCCTCCTCCCTCCAGCACCCACCCCGCTCGGGTGATCGCGGGCAGAAGGGGTTGTGACAGGAGGACCCGCGTGTCCATCACTGCCACCGGGCGGTCCCCCGAGCCGGGGCCGGGACCTCTGCAGCGCACGCTCGGCCTCAGAGGCCGGGGTCACGCCGCTGCAGGCCCCACTCTCGGCTTCCGGGGGTCCGCGGGACATTCCCCACCGCAGCTCCCGAACGCCGGGCACCTACCTGGCGAGCGGGCGTGAGGGTCCCGTCCACGTCAAACAGGCAGAGGACGCGCTCCCTCCTGCGGGCGCCCTCAGCGGCCACAGCCATGGCTGCAGCTCCGCGCCCGCGCGCTCCCGGGATGTGGCTGCCGGAGCAGCGTCTAGAAGGGGCTCTTCGATAGGGCGGAGCCTGGGCGGGGCAGGCGGGGCGGGGCCATCCCGGGGCGGGGCCTGAGGGGGACAGACCCAATGGAGGGCAGGGCCTGGAAGGGGCGGGGCTGGGGCGGGGCTGAGAGCAGCAGACCCAATGGAGGGGCGGGGCCTGGGAGGGGTGGGCGCTGGGGGCGGGGCCGAGAGAAGCAGACCCAATGAGGGGCGGGGCCCGGGAGGGGCGGGCGCCAGGGGCGGGGCTGAGAGGAGCAGATCCGGGAGGGGCGGGGCCTGGGAGTGCAGACCTTGGAGAGCAGGGCGCTAAGGCAGGACTGGGGAGACTGTGCCGAAGAGGCGTGGTCTCGGCGGGGAGGGGCGGGCCTGAGCGGATTGTAAGGATGATTCTGATTGCACCAGGCAGAGAAGGGGCGGGGAATAGGGCGGAGCAAGCCCAGCTGGGAAGGCCGTGTTGTTTCAACCCGTACGGAGGCGGGGCCTGGGGCCCGCTGCTTTGAGAGAGGAGAGCCCGGAAGAGCGGGGCTGGGCCTAGGTTGGACGGTGGCGGGACGATTCTGATTGCATCAGGTGGTGGAGGGGTGGACAGGGGCGGGGCCTCGAACCCGCAGTGCAGGGCCAGGCGGGGCGAGAGCTGGGCCGTCCCGACTTTCCTCGTTCATCATTCCGCCTTCAATCATTCCATAACTCGCTCCTCCCTGCTAATGCCTTTGCCCTAAAAATCTTGAGCTTGAAGAAATCTCATGCCCTTTGCTCTGGCTATAGACTTTGCCAGCTGGCTTTCTTTCCCCTGCCTTACTCCTCCTGCTGTCCTTCTGTCCACCTCCTAAGACTCAGCTCACAGTCCACCTCCTTCAAAAAAGCCTTCCCAGATACTTATTCATAACTATTTGATCATCACATTGACTCTGGAGTCGGTTCTGGGTTGTCTTCCCAGGTCCACCATTATGTGACTTTGGACAAATCATTTCACTTCTCTGAAACTTTGTGTCTCCATTGGCAGAATGGGAAGAACACTACCTACTTTGTAGGGTTGCTTTGCACATGAAAAAAAAAATAAAAATAGGAGAGCCCACAAAGTGGCAGGCACACAGCAGACCCATTCCAAAGGAAAACATATAGATGTGTTTGATACTCTTACTGATTAAAAGGCCACTGCCTGTCAGAAGTCTTAAATTGTGCAGACCCTTTGAGCCAGCAATTCTACTTTTAGAAATAAGAAGAAAAAAATAAATTGGGTGTTGGATAAATTAACCATGGTCCATCTATAAGATTGTTGGCGGTGGCAAAAAGCACCAGGTGTTACACCAGTGTGGTCAGACCGGACCAAGGTGCAGCAACCTCTGTACTTGAGTTCTTGCTAGGAAAGAATTCAAGTCAAGATTCAAACTATAAGAACATTTTTGCCCTGGCCGGTGTGGCTCAGTTGGTTGAGCATTGTCCCATGCATTGAGAGGTTTCAAATTCGATTCACGGGTTTCAGGCTTGATCTCTGCCTATTAAGGGGTGTTAATGTAAACAAAACATTGAAACCTCTAAAGAATTTTTGTGAGTTTATTTGAGCCAAACTGTCGGTGTAAGCTGGGAAGCAAAACCTCAACAAATTGAGATAATGCTCCGGAGAATGGCAATCAAAGGAGGGACATATATGGGTTAATTGATGATAGATTAAGGAGGTGGCATAAAGCAAAGGGAGGGGGGAAGAAACCACTGGGATTGGATAAAAAGTAAAATGATGGACACATAACATACTTAGGTGGGCGCAGGAACAATGAACATGATAATGAAGGGATTTGTGGTCTCAGTCCTGGCGCCCAGCACGTTTGGTTGTGACCCAGGGGCTCCAGAAAAAGCAAATTTACAAGTTACCCAGATATTTCAAGGATATGTTATCATAGATGAAAAAAAAAACAAACCAGATTGGTTCAGTTAAGTTAAAAGTTGACCTTGTAAGTGAAGATACTGGCCAGGACTTAACTGCCCACCATCACTGCTTTTAGTTCAAATTTAATTTCAGACCATCTTTGTGGTTCCTTTATTTTTTATTTTTTAAAATTATTTTTTAAAAAAATATATTTTATTGATTTTTTACAGAGAGGAAGGGAGAGATAGAGAGCTAGAAACGTCAATGAGAGAGAAACATCGACCAGCTGCCTCTTGCACACCCCTCACCGGAGATGTGCCCGCAACCAACGTACATGCCCTTGACTGGAATCGAACCCGGGACCCCTCAGTCTGCAGGCGACGCTCTACCGCTGAGCCAAACCAGATTCGGCTGTGGTTCTTTTAGGTCTGAGTTTGCAAGACCGCCATGCAGGCCTCCCCTGAGCTGTCAGGTCAGTATGTGGCCCCTAGCATCCACAGGAGAGTTCAGGAGGCAGCCTATTGTTTCTCTCTCATTGATGTTTCTATCTCTCCCTCTCCCTTCCTCTCTTTAAAATCAATTTAAAAATATTATTTAAAAATAACCAACCAATGAATGCAGAGATAAGTGGAACAGCAAACCTATGTTTCTCTCTCTAAAAATAAAAAATAATTTTTTAAAAAAGGATTCCGGCTGGGACCGGTTTGGCTCAATGGATAGAGCATCGGCTTGGGGACTGAGGGGTCCTAGGTTCGATTCCGGTCAAGGGTATGTACCTTGGTTGCGGGCATATCCCCGGTGGGGGTTGTGCAAGAGGCAGCTGATTGATGACTCTCTCTCATCGATGTTTCTAGCTCTCTATCTCTCTCCCTTCCTCTCTGTACAAAATCAATAAAAAATATATATATATTTAAAAAAAAAAAAAAAAAGGATTGCGCCCGACCATCTGGCTCAGCTGTTGAGCGTTGACCTATGAGCCCGGATGTCGTGGTTAGATTCCCGGTCAGGACATATTCCTGGGTTATGGGCTCAACCCCCAGTGTGGGGTGCGCAGAAGCCAGCTGATCAATGATTCTCTCATCATTGATGTTTCTGTCTCTCCCCCTCCCTTCCTCTCTGAAATCAATAAAAATATTTTTTAAAAATAAAGGAATTCCTAGGGAATTCGTTAAGTGCAGATGCCTGGGCTCCACGCCTGGTGCTGGAATCCAGAAACTGTAGAATGGGGCCCAAAGGGCAGGACAAGTGTTTGCCTCCTATGGATTAGCTCCACCTTTTCTTTTTTCTTTTTTTAAATATATTTTATTGATTTTACACAGAGAAGAATTGAGAGGGATAGAGAGTTAGAAACGATGAGAGAGAAACATTGACCAGCCGCCTCCTGCACACCCTCACTGGGGATGTGCCTACAACCAAGGTACATGCCCTTGACCGGAATCGAACCCAGGACCCTTCGGTCCACAGGCCGAAGTTCTATCCACTGAGCAAAACCGGTTTCGGCAGCTCCACCTTTTCAAAGACAAAGATAAGCTCCCAACAATATCACACCTACACCTTAGACCTGTAGTGAACCAGTTTCCTGACAAATACCTTTCACAACCTCTCCCTGAATTCTCACCACTCATTTCAGTGATGAGGATTCTGAATTCAGAGAAGGGGAGTGAACTGCCCCGGGGGAGACTCAGACCCAGGAAGACCAGATGGGGTGGCCCTTATGGCCACCAGCATGTCCCTTTAAGAGGGAGGCTTTTCCCTGGCAACCGGTGTTCAGATGGGGCCCTGCGGAGGCCCCAGGGAAAGCGAGGAGCAGGGCTGGGAACCGGGGCTGGGAGGCCTGGCCAGAGGGTGCTTGCAGAGCACCAAGGAAGCCGGGCCTGAAGGCAGGGCGCCTGCGACCCCATCCTGGCAGGATCCTGCTCACGAAGGAAGCCTAGGTTCTTCTGGGCCAGACAGTTGGCTGAGGTCTGAAGGTTAGTGACTCCATGTTTGCTTTGGGCAGTAGAGCTCATCCGTTGGGCATTTCGTTCCTTTTGCCTGAATCCTCTGCGTTGACTGCGCCGACACTCGATGTTCAGACGTAGGTACGGACACCGGGGAGCTGAAGGTGCTTTCCCGGGTCACACAGAGCAGGCAGGACTCGTTCAGTGCCGTTCCCCCAAAGCCCAGGCTTTCCCCGCGCCCGTGGTGGAAGGCCAAGTGTCAGCATGTTGCAGGTTGAATACGGGGTGCTGACCCTCTGTTCCCTATCTGGGGTGTGAGCTTCTGAGGGAGGGCAGTCCCAGCCCAGGGGCAGCCCAGGGGCAGGGGGTGTACAGTCAGGCTGAGAGTTCCTGGAGCTGCCTCTCCCCAGGTGACTTTGGGCAGGCCCCTCCCACCCTCTGGTCTGTTCCTTATATATAAACTAAGTGTGGGGGGGCCCTCATGGGGAGTGGGCCTAAGCTTCAGTCTGGCCTCCCTCCACGGGAGGTGAGGAGGCTGATCAGGGGAAGGCACCACCCCATCACCCCGCTGCTGCTGCCACTGCTGGCTGGCCAGGGCTCATGGCTGCCTGAGCCCTGGGCCTCGCAGCTGCCAGGAAGCAAGGCTGCCTGCGCCCATGGCTGCCTGAGTCCCGGGCCTTGCAGCTGCTGTGGCTTTGTCTGGATGGACATCCGGATGGCGCACAGAAGACATCAGCTCTAATCAGCATATTACCCTTTTATTAGAAGAGATGGGACCGCCACTGCAGCCTCTCTGGGTGCAGGGGAGGAGATGTGCTAAAGAGGAGTAGGTTAGAGCTATTGCTGGTTTTAATTCCATCTTGGTTTGGACAGTGGGTGGTTGGGGAGACGGGGGGGGGTGGGTGTTGGCAGTATTTTCTTAATTTTCCAAAATGCCTGCAGAGTTCACATTGTTTTCACAATAAACTAGTGTGTTACATTTAAACGGCGCAATGCGCATGTTTACCGGTGTTCTGTGGAGGGGTGGAGGCTGTTGCTGGGTTGGCACAGGCCCCCTGGGGGCTCCCTCAGCCAAAGCCAGTGGGGACATAGATGGCTGGGCCCCAGCACTGCCCCACCTGGGGGCGGGAAGCAAGGACAGCAGTCTCCTGGCACCTGGGGTTAGTGATTTCTGGGGCTTAGACCTGTGGTATCAGTCCTGCAAGGACTTGGCTTGAATTCTTTCCTTGGGCAAGTCACTCCTCACCTCTCAAGCCAGGGATGGAGAGAGGAGTCCCACAGGGAGGCGCCTTAGAGAGTATTTGATGCAGTTTTAATTCTACAGAATGAACTGAGGCCCAGTGAAGGGAAGGCCTGATTAAGGTATCTGAGGCAGAGGTTCTATCTGGGGTGTCTGGATCCATGTGCAGGGTTTTTATGACCTACCTCTCCCCCTCAGTGTGGGCCTGAGGACTGAGTCACTGCCTGATAGCAGCTCTCTGCCAGGCCCCGTGCTGGGTGTTGGGCACTCAGATGACCTCAGCCAGGCCCTGCCCCAGCTGGCAGAGGAGTGTTTGGGGAGGCACCCGCAGGAGGGAAGGGGCAAAGGCTTTGCAATCCTGATGAGGGTTGCTCTTGAGGGTAGGTGAGGAGGGGAGAATCCAGGTCCAGCAAATGGTAAGTTAAGGCCAGAGGTGGAAACCGCCTGCAGTGATAGGACTGCTCTTGCAGAGGGTGTGGGGTTGGAGATCTGGGGACCGTGATAAATGTGTTCCCAGTGGGCCACGGAAGGGTAGAGGTGTGGGGAGCAGGGCAGTCATGTGACCCGCGGTATCCAGGTCAGCCGAGTTTGTGGGCAGTGTTGTGGGGTGCACAGCGCCACCTGGTGCCCATCTCTCTCACCGCAGCGTAACCTTATCTGGCTCTTTCCAGCAGGGTTCTTGGTAAATCAGTGGTGAAAGTCATACTCTTTCCTGCTCTCACCACTTCTTATCTCTAAGGCTTACAACCAAGCAAAGGTGGCATAACCAGACTCAGCAAAGTCAAGCTCAGAGGCAGACAGACAAAAAAGCCAGGGCTTCTTATTGGATGCTCACCCGGACCTTCACATACGACACAAAGGCAGCAGGCAGTGAGTTTATTGCGTTAGAAAAAAACATCAAAGAAAACCAGCAAACACCTCCGTACTAAACAGTTATTTGACTTCAAGGGCAAAAAGAAATCTCAAAGGTACAAGCTTTATTTCTGGGAGGGGTGGCGGTCTCATCCCACCTTTCCGTCCCTTTAACCAGCGACCTGCTATGGAGGAGTCCACTATGCACCACAATCACACATGGCTCACTTGTCACTCTGGCCACCCATGCACGCCCGTGTGGAGCTAGCTGGGCACATGGACACACTCCTGAGGTGCTGGGAGACAGAAATGTGAGGGGGTCCGAGTCTGAGCCTGGGCTCCGAAGTTAGCGCTGTAGGACGTGGGTCGGGAGGGAGAGCGTGCTTTCCTGCAGGGCTCGATCCTTCTGTCTCTCCCCAGGGCACAGGCATTGGCACAAATGGCTGCTGGGCATGAGGGAAACTCAATGGACCAAGTGACTCAGTCTCTTAGGGGAACCATTGTTCAGGAGGGCCCTGGATCTGGAGGTGACCGTGGGAGGAGAAAGCAGTTAGGCCCGGAGATGGGGAGGGGAGAGGAGGAGCTGTGATGCCCAGCACCCTCTGGCTGGAGCTGTGCGGATAGGTGAGGAAGAGCCTGGCAGAGGGAGGGCTGGGCCAGGCAGCTGGGAAAGGAGACACCCAGGCGGGAAGGAGCCAGCGTGCTCCCTCCTGGGAGAAAGTAATTCCCTGTGGTCCAGTCTACCAGTCAGTGAACATTAAGTAAGGGTCCCTGCCAGTTTCTGCTCTAATGTATCACTGCCGTGCTTTCTGCAAGTCAGTGGGTCTTGAGAAGAATTAAACGCTCATTCGTTTGGCCTCCCATCAGAAAAGTTCCAAACTGTCACGTGACTTCACAGTGGTCAGGCACTAAGGCAGACTGACATCTTTTCCTCGAGCCCAGACCCTGATGCCAACTGCTCTGCGGACGGCACAGCCAGGAAGGGCCAGAGGGGAGCAGCAGCTTTTTGGAAAAGAAAGGCACCTGCTGCAGGCCAGACCCCAGGAAAGACAACATGATTCAAGGCTAAGAAGTGGCAGAGCTGGGCCTCAGGTACCTGGCAGCCGACTCCTCTCTCTCACTTCCCCAAAAGCGAACTAAGGGGAGGCGCAAGTGAAGAGAGGGAATCTGAAAGCCTCTCAGGATGAGCTACTTCTAGACTGTTCCCTGCCTATAAGCTCTCGGCAGCAGCTCATGGGAAAATGGCCACACACCCCCTACCATGCCTCCTTCAAGTCAAAATGACAGAAACATGAGTCTTCATGACACATTTAGGATAACGTACAGATCCTATCAGAAGCAACTACATTTCTTGCCACCTTGACTCTGCATTATTATTCTTTCTCCATTTCCTGGAGCAGGGAATCATTGCCCTTGGTCCCGGCTGAACACTGCACACTGGTCTGGGTGGGGTGGAGACGGTGACTGTAATAACCTACACTGTTACATACAGACGGGGGCCGGGGTCTCTGCCGCTCCAGCCAGACCCTCGTTAATGACGACAGGTCAGCCATGCTGAGGGAGGGCAGCCTTAGGCAGCAAGCTTCTCCAAACCCGATGTCTGAGGACTGGCCATCCGTCTAGGAGAAGGAATGGCTTTATCCTGTCTGCTCTGCCTCACACTGTCACTCTCCCTCGATCCTGAGACTTCTGGCGGCTCCAGCTCTGGCCCCATGGCCTGCTTGGGGTGGAGGAGGGGAGGTGACCGGCCTGCTTGGGGTGGAGGAGGGGTGGTGACTGGCCTGCAGGGGGTGGAGGAGGGAAGGTGACCGGCCTGCCTGGGGTGAAGGAGGGAAGGTGACCGGGCTGTGACTAGAGAGTTCACTTAGGTTGGGGAGCCATCCTGACACTGGTTCCACGGGCACCAACTCCTTTGGCTCGTTTAACACTAGGGAGGAACTGCTTCCAGGTCATGGCTGTTATAAAACTCACCTGGGCCCCCACAGGAGGTGGCAACCTGGGAAGAGCGTGGGTGTTTTCTGAAAAGAGGTTCTAGGTTGGGGCTCCCCAAACTGTGCTTTCTGCTTAAGCAAACCCCCTCCTTTCCTCGAGCGTGGAGGACACTTAGGAAGAGGCGTCAAGTGAGCGCACAGACAAGACAGCCTTAATAAATTAGTATAATACTATTCAAAGGGATGGCATTTTGTTCCGTTTCTTAGCAGCACTGTCCTCCATGCGGCCTGGTGGTCTCCTTCCCTGGGAATGTAAAAAGCTGTCCCCTGGTTGTTAGCTCTGGTGTGAAATTATAAAATAGAAATCTGGTCGGGTTTTTTTTGTTTAAAAAGGAAAAGCCCTGGGAGGCAGGGCGGTCCCATGCAGTCCTGTTAGCTCTGGCCGTTGGGCCGGCCCATGGTGCTCCCTCCAGGAGGCTGGATCTGGATGGAGTCCAGGAGGGGCCGCAGGGCCTGTCCGAAGGGGCTGCGGAGAAAGCAGACACAGGGGCTCGGGGGGGCTCGCTGACCCAGCACGCCCCGCTCCCCACCGGCGCAGCGTCACCACCCTGGGAAGGACATGCTTAGCTCATCTCATCTTCCCCCGCCTCCCCCTGGTGCCTCACGGGAGGGTCTCTAAGAGCCTGCTCTGCATTCTGGTCCCCACCCCAGTAGATGCTACCATCTCACTCCCTCCATCGCTACGTCCTGGTTAGTTCTCTGGCTTGGACAGGCTGGCCACATACAGGGACTAGAGCTGCCTATACTGGTATCTTCACTTTTCACGGTACAAGAAGATAAAAGAGTTTAATGAGGAAGCAGAGGGGAAAAAAAGACATGAAAAAGGTAAAGGCAGGACATTCTGCTAGGGGCACAGGAAGAGTCAGGAAACAACACATGCAGGTGGCCAGGTGCTAATGCCACTTCGCAAAGGGCTCCCATTTGTTCTTAGAGGAGCTTGGCTGGAACTGCAAACACCGGGGGTCAGAGATTCTCCAAGATTACCTCAACCTTAAAACAGGCTGCCCATGCCGAAACCGGTTTGGCTCAGTGGGTAGAGCGTAGGCCTGTGGACTGAAAGGTCCCAGGTTTGATTCCAGTCAAGGGCATGTACCTTGGTTGCTGGCACATCCCCAGTAGGGGGTGTGCAAGAGGCAGTTGATTGACGTTTCTCTGTCATCAATGTTTCTTTTCTTTCTTTCTTTCTTTTTTTTTTTTCAAAAAAAAATATATATTTTATTGATTTTTTACAGAGAGGAAGAGAGAGGGATAGAGAGAAACACAGGTCGACGCTCTATCCACTGAGCCAAACCGGTTTTAGCTCTGTCATCGATGTTTCTAACTCTCTATCCCTCTCCCTCTCCCTTCTTCTCTGTAAAAAATCAATAAAATATATTAAAAACAAAAACAAAAACAAAACAGGTTGTCCACAAGGGTTGTTTTCTTCAGTGGATACTGCCATTTTGGAAAATTGTCCCCAAATTCGAAGGGAATGACGTATTCCAAAGCAGAAATAGTGACCTTAGTTCAGTCTCCACCCATCAAATAATAACAGCAAGAACATTCCAGCTACTAAAGCTTGCTCAGGGCTCATAACCTAGATCCTCAGGAAGGCAGTGTGGTTGAACACACCTGCCAAAGAAGGGAGGGTCAGGGCTGGGCCAGGGCAGCCTTGTTTCTGATGCAGTTTTTCTGAGGACTTCCTACCCAGGTGTGAAAACAGCTCCCCTGGCTGAGCCTGCTCAACCTGCCGGGATCCCTGTCGGACAGGGCCCAGTCCGGAGAAACTGAGTCAGTCAACAAATGGTCATGGCCCTGGAGTGGGCAGAGGCTGCCTGAATGCTGTCAGTAGCAAAGGAATGGAGGGGGGTGATGGCTTTGGGTGGGTGTGTGTCCTTTTAGGGGACTGCCTGGGTGATGGCCCATAAGTTACGAGGGCAAGCAGGAAGTTGATTTTGAGGGCATCGAAGAGCTTATGGTGCAGGGGAAGGAAGACTAACAAGCCGCCCTCGGGATTCTCTGACCTACTCTCCGCTTCTCCATCTAAGACTGCGTCATAAGCAGGCACTTCTGGGGAGTGGCATGCTTCGTGTGCAACGGGAGAGACAGAGGCCAGATTCTAAGTTCTATGACTGTACTCAGACCAAGTTGGGTGAAGGTAACACAAGTATGCATCGGTGAGTAGAGAAAGCGGTGGCTTTCCGTGTTAGTAGCTGCCATCGTGGCAGGGCCCACCAGGCGTGGGGAGATTCTGCTGAGACAGGGGAGGGCAGCCCTGGCAGAGGAGTGGCCCTGGCTAGGGATGGGGACTTAAAAGTCAGGGCAGAGGCAGAGGCAGGGACACTTACGTGGAGAGAACTTCAGAGGGAAGGTCGGTGATGTACGAGGGGATCTTCCTGCCGGTCAGGAACTGGGCCACTTCGTTGCTGAAGGTGTTACAGTTGTGTTCAAAGAGGTTGTAGGCCTCACCTCTGTACATTGTGAGAAAGGAGCACAGACGTGAGCACAGACGAGCTAAGCACATGAAATACTCACCGGGTCATGGAAGGGGGAGCACAGCTGAGTCTGAGGACTCGCGGGACCATTGGAAACAGATTTTGAAGGGAAGGATGAGATATAAACATGAGGCTCCTCTACAATTTCAGGACAATCTTTACTTTCACAAAAGCAGAGCTCTAGGGTTCGAGTTTAACAGTTATTGAATCGACAAAAGCTTCTTTAAGAGAAAATCTGCTCAAGTTTGTATCCCAACCCCTCTACACACCTTGGTCTTGATTTTCAGCACAAAAAACGTGGCCAGTGTAGGCGGAGAATAGGAGATGCTGAAATAGCAGCAGCTGGTTCTAAGCAGGAAGAATCAATAGCCGGCCCTTCCTCCAAGTCCCAGCAGAAGGCTGCTGGGGCGGAGCGTCAGCCTTGGAGCGACACTGCGCTCTTCCGCCTCCTCTGCCTGTTTGTTCAGCAAATGCCGGGCCAGGCCTGGTGCTGAGGACTCTCGGGATGTGTCTGTGGCTGCCCTCGGGGGTGATTATCTAGTGGGGGAGACAGACACAACTAACCACCACCCCTGTCTCCACTCACCGGAACTGAGACTCCCCCAGGGAGGACAGGTACTCCAGAAAGATTTCTTCTGTGACTTCTGTGCTCCCCACATCAACCACAGAGTCTGGGGGCCCAAGCAATGTCCCTCCCTAAAAGAGCCAACCCAAAGAGAGTCATTAAATTACCATTTCCATTGAATTTTTTACTGTGCCTTTCCATGGAGGACCACAAATGCTCTGTTCTGACCACTTTTAACTCTCAGAGCACCTAGGGCAGATGAAGAATGTTACTTCCTATTTGCCTCGGGGCTCCAGTGGCTTAGAGCTCCCTGGAGACTTGCCATTGCCAGTGCCAGAAAGTCGGCTACGACATTGGGCTTCTCGTTTCTGGTGGGGGCCTGGGAAGCCGAGTCTCCTGCAGGTCAGACTCCTGATGCTGTCCACTCCTTCAGCTGATAAAAAGATGGGAACCCAGAGTCTGAAGTCTCCCTTTGTCCTCAACCTGCCCGACCATAAGGGCAGAACAGGGCAATTAGAAATGGCTCCTACATGACAGTCATCTTTCTATGCCCATATCCATAAGGAAGGCTGCCAGGGTTTCTAGGGACACATCTGATGTCCCTTGAACACAGGGAAAACGTGAAGGACTATGAGAAATCTGGCAGGCTGGCAAATATTCCCAAAATTCAGTTCTTCTATGATCCGTGAGGATAATCCAACGATGCTAATAGGGTTCCCCAGGCAAGGGAGTTAATGGCCCCTGAAAGGCCTACAGAAAACCCTCAGCCATGAGCTAACAGACCGCCACAGTAGGCCAAGGACAAGACTGAGGCCCAGTGGGAAAACCAGCCAAGGGGGAAGCAACAGGATCACTGGGGGGCAAGGGAGGAACAGAGCTGGGAATGAGCTGGGAAAAGGTAGTGCACTCCAAAGCAAAGCTCCCTGCAAAGCCCATGATTTTATACAAGAGCTACTGAGCACCTACTTGTGCCTGACTTTGTTCCAGGCACTGGAGAGGGGACAGTGAGCAGCATGATGTTGGTAGTCAGAGAAAAAGGACTCAGAGTTATAAGAAACTAAAAGGTCACTATTCGCCCCCCTCCCCCATTATTCACTCATATAACAAATATGTATTGAGAACTCACTATGTGACGGGCCTTATGCTAGGCACTGGGGTATGATGTAACAAAACAGATGAGATTCTTGCCCTCAGGGAGCTTATAGCCTAGTGGGGAAGGCAGACAAAAAATCCCATAAACCAATGTATTATTATGAATTGCAATAAGGGTCTTGCTGGAAAAACTACAGAATGCCGTCAGTACATATGACAGGGGACCATCCCAGCCTGAAGGGTCAGGGAAGATTTGCCTGAGAAAGTGACACTGAGCTCAAATCTGAAGGATGGAGAAGTGCAACAAGGTGAGAGATTGGGGGTGGGGGTGGGAGGGAGGGCTGAAGGCAGTGGATAGGTTTAAAGGTGTAAGTAAGGAGAGGGGTTGGAAAGGGCATGACTTGAAAAGAGGCCACCCCGAGAGGCAGCCCAAGACCAGTTAGGGCCTTGGAGGTCACGCCGGTCTTTCTGGTTTTCATTCCAAGAATAACGGGTAGAGTTCTGACTTAAGCAGGCGAATGCCACAATCAGATTTTCATTTGGAAAAGGTCAGTTTGCTTCCCATGGGAGAACGGGTGGAGAAGAGCAGATGCATTGCTGTGGTCCAGGCTAGGTATGAGTGTGGCCTGGATTAGGTGAAAGCCCTGGAAAAAAGGGGACAGGTGAGGACAGAGAGGCTGATTTAAGACACACTTACAAGGTGGAATGGACGGGCTTAATGAAGGATTTGTTACAGGTGAGGGACCAGGGATAGAAACCAAGAATGACTTCCCATTTAAGAGCATCAAAATGAATGGCCCTGTGGTCTGAGCAGCTCCTGGGACAGCCCTTGGCTAGTTGAGACAGCAATTCTTCGGGAAATGGCATGGGCTTTAGAGTCACAGAGCTGTGTAAGTACTGCTGCCACTTCCTGGCCAACTCACTTTGCCTCTCAGAGCCCTCATATTCGGCTTCAGGTGAGCCGGGCACTGAGTTGGTCACAGGATAGGAAAGTGAGGCACAGTCTCGGCTCACAGAGACTTACATATTCCTGTGCAGACCCCGGAACAGCTCATTTCACCACAACACGCTCAGTGTGACACAGAGGGACCCAAAAGTGCCGTCGGAGCAGAGGAGAGCAACGGGCTGGAGGGTCTGGGGAGGGTCTGTTGAGCTGAGCCTGCAGGGAGTTGCGAGGAGCTATGCCGCAGGCCTACATACTCTGGGTCGGGACGAGAACGCGGAGTGGCAGCTGAGTTCCTGGTCTCGGGAATCCCGGGGAGGGACACTCACCGGGGGACAGCTGGAGATCCCGCCGCTGCCGAAGAAGAACTCATCCTTGTGTACAACTATGGAGGTGTGCCTGCACGCAGAGAGGAGAGAGTAAGCCATGTGAGAGAAAGCAGTCACCACACTGCAATGAGGATCACTTCTGCCCATGGGTAGGACTGTGGCCAGCAGCCTTATAAAACCAACCAAAAGCAAGATAAACACCACCGGTGAGCGTTTCCAACTCTGGCGCTGCTGACATTGGGGGCTGGACAGTGCTGGATTGGGGGGCTGTCCTGTGTAGCAGGATGTGTGGCAGCATCCTGGCCTCCCCCCATTAGACACCAGCAGCATCTCCTCCCCTCAGTGAGACAACCAAACATGTCTCCGGACAGCACCAAATGTCTCAGAACTGACCCCGGCTGAGAACCATGTAAGCAGAGGGGAGTCCTTAGAAATTCATATAATGAAAAACCAATTACTGAAATAAAGATTGCACACCAAGTTGTGTTCCCAGGCTTTTGAAACTAAGAGCAGCAGTGCACCTGGAGCATGCTGATGGAAGGACCAGGGGATGTGAAAAGTGGACCTGTTTCATACTACTTGGTTTGAGCCAAACAAAGCAGAGGGCTAGTCTGTCAATCCACTGTCAGGAGGGTTCAGAGTCAAGACTGAATACTGACCTCTGGCTTCCTCATGAATGGAGCTGAGAGCTCAGCCACGGCCTCGTTTCTGACAGGGCTGGGTCCAGCAGTGAGAGGTCAAAGTAGGTGTGATTTAAGACAGACTTGCAGGGCCTTCAGCCTTCTGTAGCTAGAAACCTTGGTGAGGGCGGGCAGGACCTCTCTGCCTTTCCTTAGGCGGGTTTCTCAATCTCAGCACCACTGCCAGTTTTGGCTAAGTAACTCTTTGTTGTGGGCTGTCTTGTGCACTGTAGGATGTTACAGCAGCATCCTTGGTCTCCATCCACCCACCAAAAATGTCTCTGGACACTGCCTGGGGGCGGGGGAGGGAGGAGGAGGGGAGAGGAATCCCTAGCTGAGAACCACCACGTTACAACTTGAAGATTTATGACGCAGGCTGGGTTTAAGCTGGAGCCACAGACTGGAACCTGAAGCTACAGGTTCAGCCTTATTTTGTAAACAAGGATCCCGCCCAACTTACCAGATGCCTTCCAGCTGTTTCCCTGTGGAGAAAAGAAGACATTTAGCCACTGGGGACTAGACTACATGCCTCCCAGCTGAGTACATCCAGAACATCACTCAAACCCAGAGAAACCCACCATCCGCCTCTGGAGGGACTTTCTAGGAATGCAATTCTCCTCTAATAAGCTCCTTAGGTCCTGACACAGGTTTGTCATGTTAAGTTGAAGTGATCAGAATCCATAAAAATACTGGTACAGATGTACTCCAATTGTATGTCTGCTTTTCTTCCTCCTTTGGGGTCAATTCAACTATGCCTTTTTAAATGAATTTTATTGATTTTGTACAGAGAGGAAGGGAGAGAGATAGAGAGTTAGAAACATTGATGGGAGAGTCATTGATCAGCTTCCTCTTGCACACCCCCTTCTGGGGATGTGCCCACAACCAAGGTACATGCCCTTGACTGGAATCAAACCCAGGACCCTTCAATCCCCAAGCCAACGCTCTATCCATTGAGCCAAACTGGTTTCGGCTCAACTGTGCCTTTTTAATTTGTCGATTGAGATTATCATAAAACAATAGTATAGAAAAGCTATTATCCACTACTTCACTGAGATAAAATCCTTCAGAAATGAAAGAGCAAAACTACTAATGCCATCCACTTAGATAGTCAATGTAAATGTAGACTGTATCTCTAGATGCCAGAAATGATGTATGCATTTGTGTACCAGGCTTCTAATAATAAAGAATAATACACAGTATTATACCATGTTAGTAATAATGAGTATATGGAAAACTTAAGAGCAGGGTAAGGGAGTTTCAGGGATAGCCAGGGTGGGCCTCTTGGAGAAGGGGACACTTGAGCAAAGACAGACCAGGCAAACTGAAGGACCTTAAGGAGGCCAGTGTGGCTGGGTGAGTGGAGTGGGTGAGTGAGGAGGAGAAAACTAGATGAGCAGAGGTAACAGAGGACAAATCACATAAAGTTGAGACCTTGTAGAAGCTGAGAACTTTGCTAAGCCTAAGCTGTCCAATATAGTAGCCACTGACTACATGTGACTATTACAATGGGGGGGGGGAGAACAGTTCTGTTCACAGTTGTACCACATTTCAAGTACTCAACAGCCACATGGCCACCGGTTAGTGATAGGACAGTGCAGATGCAGAACATCTCATCACTGCACAGAGCTCTACTGGCCAGTGCTGCTTAAACCTCAGCGTGCTATTCTGCTACACACACACACACATACACACACACACACACACACACACACACACACACACTAGTGTCTACCTCATAACATTTCCAAGATTAAAGGAGAGGACACATAAAATATGCCCATCACAGTGCCTGGCATATAACACTTGCCTAAAAAAGACTAACTCATTTCTTTCACACTGTAGAATTTGAGATTGTTATGGCTGCTTTCATAGTACTTTGGTATTGAAACTACCTATTTTTGTGTCTTTTTCCCCATCAGACTACAATTGTCTCAAAGACAAGGGCAATTTCTTATGCATCTTTGTGATTCCGGCACCCAGCAAAGCACCTGCGAGAGAGATGCTGCACACCCATCTGTTGAGATGGGGCGTTCTGTCGTTAGCCCTGTTGGCCGACACACCCACAGTGCTATTGAGGCCGAAGTTCTTAACCCCAATCTTAACTGCCCTGGCTTGTTGTTCAAATGATGTTACAACCTTGGCATACTGCACTCTGAGTCTGCTACTGCCCTCTCCAAGGCCCATGCTCAATGACCCAGGCTGGACAGACATTAGTTCTAACCCAGCCCTACGAAAAGGATGGAGTTTTGGAGAAGGGCCTCAGAGATCACCCTGTCAGTTTTTAATACCTGAAAACAATTCCAAAGTTGAAAGATACAAATCCTACTTTATTATCTTGATAGTCTCTGTATTGATCACTAAATTTGCCCGTGCGATGGACAGGCATGACATTTTCTTCTTATTCAACTATATCAAGGAACATTCAAGATCTCATCCATTCCTAGAATTGGGAGTATAGGGGGGGAGAGGGGAAAGATCCTTTTATTCATTCTTTCACTTATTAATCCAACTGCCAAACATGTGGAGCCAAAAAGAACATTTAAAATTGGCCGAGTAGATTTATATATCTTTTTTCTTAATTTAAAGTGCTTCATCATTATCCTTATTCTCACACATCTATACAGGTAGCATAGGGCAAATATTTATTAAGGACCCATGGTTTGCCCAGCATAAAAACAAGGAAAAGCACGCCAGGATGATGTACTTGTCTGAGCAGCTCAGACAGCAGCGGTAGCTGCTTGGCAGCCTGCTCTCAGGAGAAAGGGAATGGCCTCCCGCACAGGGTGACAGGCAATGGGAAGTGGGACTGCATTGATCCTTAAATGTTTCTGGCTGGACTGGGGTGGGAGGAGGAGGTGGCGGTTTGAGACTGAATTAGGGCACAGGCCATTCTGAATCGATGAATTAGACTCAGCGGAAATCAGCACATTACAGAAAGCAGATTATTTTCCCACTGGGATTTCCTCAGCAAGCTGGAGAGCAGGTGGGTCAGATGACTGCATGTCTCCAAGCTTGTTAGCACTTCCAATGCACTGATTTTGAGGCCAGGAAGCATGCACATGAAAACAAATGTGAGACATGGAGATCAGCCTTATTTTTCATCATGAATAACAAAAAAGTGAGGTCCACATTAGTCAGCTTTCCACTGATTGTAAGAATAAAGTGAGTATATAAAAGTCAAGAGCCCTGGCCTGTGTTCTTAGTGGTTAGAGCATTAGCCAATGCACTGAGGGTCGATGATTCAATTCCCAGGCAAGGGCATGCACCTGGGTCCTCTATTACCTCTGCTCATCTCCTAGTTTTCTCCTCCAGTCAGGGAGCATACAGGAGATGATTGATGTCTCTCTCTCACATCAAGGTTTCTGTATCTCTCTCTCTCTCTCTTTTAAAAAAAAAATATATTTTATTGATTTTGTACAGAGAGGAAGAGAGCTAGAAACATCGATGAGAGAGAGTCATCGATCAGCTGCCTCTTGCACACCCCCTACTGGGGATATGCCCGCAACCAAGGTACATGCCCTTGACCGGAATCGAACCCAGGACCTTTCAGTCCCCAAGCCGACGCTCTATCCATTGAGCCAAACCGGTTTCGGCTCTCTCTCTCTTTCCTCCTCCCTCCCATTTTCTCTAAAAAATCAATGGAAAAAAATATCCTTGGGTTAGGATTAAAAAAAAAAAAAAAGTCAAGAAGAAAATACTCAATCCACCTCCTCATCAATTAAGATAAATGGAGCTTGTGCAGATATACATGCTAGTTGTAAGACATGCTCAAGACCAGCAGCTGGGATATTGCTGGTGCTAAATAAATGTCTATTAATAAGTACACCATGGATGATGGTGAAGGGTTCCATATGCAAATCAAATGTAGCCCCAGTGACAAAGTGTTGGTTTAAAAAATATATATATATTTTTATTGATTTCAGAGAGGAAGGGAGAGAGAGATAGGAACATCAATGATGAAAGAGAATCATTGATCAACTGCCTCCTGCATGCCCTCACCATGGGGATTGAGCCCGGAACTCAGGCATGTGCCCTGAACAGGAATTGAACTGTGACCTCCTGGTTCATAGCTGGATGCTGGGCAGTGACTAAGTGTTTTTAACTGACAGTGTTTTCATCTGCTGGTTGGCTCAGTCATTTGCCACATTACCAGCAATATAAAGGGGTTAACGTTAACCTAAAAAAAAAATCAGCATATTCTTCTCAGTTTGTATTTACTGAACACCAAGCACTGCTACACTCCAGAGGTACAACTGAGAGTTCCTGCCCCAATGGAGCTTTCAGTCCAGTTGGGGTGGGTGTGGACATAGATGAGAAAACAAGCAACTATAAAACAGAATGATGAATGTTATTAAAGGACAATACAGGATGTTATCAGCATACAATAGAGACACATCACCAAGATTTGGGGGCTGGGGTTCAGGGAACGTTTCCTGAGGAAGTGACATTTTATTAGTAGTTGAGACCTGAGTAGAAATTAGCCAGGCCAAGTGATGGAAAAAGTATCCCTGGCAGGGGGTACAGCAGCCCTTCGCCACTTGGTAGCTATTGGGAGAATGAGAAAACAGTCCCTCAGATCCTTTCCCTTAGGGCAGTGGTCGGCAAACTCAGTCTACAGAGCAGCAAACCGAGCTGCAGTTTGCTGACCACTGCCTTAGGGTTTAATGCTCCTGAGGAACCCAGCTGAGAAAGGATCACATCAGTGTGTTCAGGTGAGGATAGAAGGAGAAGCAGGAGCTAGATCACAAAGGGCCTTGTAAGCCACACCAATTTTCCTTTTGCCATAAAGAAGTTGCATGGCCACTAAATTCATTAGCTGGTTATTAAAGTTTATACAATAAATAAAAACAATCTAAAACAAAACACAATAGATGACATCAAAACATAAAAAAACCCTCAGCTTCAAATAAATTCTACTAAATCTTCAAGTCTCACTCATTCCGATAGTATTTATTGAGCACCAGCTCTGACTGGCCAGCGGGGACAGAGGAATGAGACAGTCTGCACGCCAGGAGCTCAGGGTACTTGCTGTTCTCTGACACATCCAGCCCACCATGCCCTCTCCCTTCGTTCAAGGCTTATAATTGCCACACCACTCTCTCATTTTGGCATCTAATAATAATCTCTTTTATGCTGCTGCATTCGTACATGCATTATTTTTAGTGAAATGAACTCCCGGGAGGCAGAGTTCATGTCTTTCATTACTATATATATATTCCGCTCCCACATCCCTGTCTTCAAACTTGAGAATTTTAAGATAGGCTTGTAAAGAAAAATAAATGTGATCTTAGGATATGTGGCTGTACAAAAAAATCAAATATAAAGTGCCTTTTACTATAATTAAAAAAATCCACGCCCTCTGCATTTATCTCTATGTACTTCAGCATAGAAAGGTCAAGAAATTTAAAGAGCAGCCAAAATTATCAAGAGGGGGAACTGAAGGACAATTATAATAGCTAATTATCTTAGGTGAATAACAGTGGGGGGAAAGGTACAATCCAGCTGTCTGCTCCATTAGAACACTAAGGATAGTTTTGGATCATTTTCATGGTGATTGCAGAACTGGGGGGTAGGAATACCTTCCTGGACGGCATTCTAGGGGACTGGAAACTAGGAGACCGGGTACGTAGTCTAGTCTCCATGCTTCAGGAGAATTATATTGGGCCTTATTCCAATCATGACTGTCATAGAGCTAGATGGGGTCTTTTTGTTTTTGTTAATCCTCATCGGAGGATATTTTTTCCATCGATATTTTTAGAAGGGCCATGGAAGGGAGGAGGAGAGACAGAAACATCCATGTGAGACACATCCCACAAGTGCTGGGGCTGGGATTGAATCTGCAACCGAGGTATGTGCCCTTGACCGGAATTGAACCCAAGACCCTTCAGTAAGCAGGTGGACGCTATAATCACTGAGCAAACGGGCTAGGACTAGATGGGGGAGGGGGGTGTCTTATAATGAGGAATTGCCATAAGAGTAAGAGGGCACTTCAATGAGGTCACACTAATTTAGTTAGGGAGAATTAAGGCTAAAGAAGAACGATCATATATCTATGATTATGAATGGCATATAGTACACATTGAGCCCAGATTTTTATCTAATTCAAATGAAATGCTTGGCCAAAGATGCCTTTACAAACATGAACAAGGTACCTACTCTGCGTCAATTATAAGGGAAAACATCACACAGTAGGTGGTCTAATAAAGCGACTGAGCACATGAGCTCTGGAAGTCAGGGTGTCTGTGTTCGTAACCCAGCCTCAACTGAAGACTGGAGGTAATGACAGGACACATCTCACAAAACTGTGGTGAGGATTATAACCCTGGCCAAGATCTCAGAAAAAAGGGTCTGGCACATGGTAAGCTTTCAATAGTTGCTAGCTATTAATATGCTCCTAGAAGTCAGGAAACAAATTGATTTTTTAGAGGCTCATATATATTTAGGAATGGGAAATCAATATATGGCTATTAATAGAACATATTCAACTTTAAAGTTAGCGATGTCTAGATGGGATGAACCAGGAATGCAATGCACATTTCTCCTAAGTGTTCAAATCTAGAAAGTAATGACTATTAGCTTTGGTAACCCTTACCTTCATTACTTTTGTAAAAGGCATAAAAGCAATATGGTTTAAAAAAAAAAAAAAAAAAGGTGGAGAGAAAGAGGGGATCATTAAATTTGGCTACTTCTTCCTCAGGGATAAATTCCCAACTCCCATAACCGTTAAAGTGGCTGCGTTATTGCCTTTCTCAGCACCCAGCTTGCTTCCTGGATAGCCCAGCACTTACGACAATTTTTAATTATTTTATTTGCTTATTTATTTTTAATGTCTTCCTTAAATAGCTCCATGATGACACAGAGTATCTGTTGATTTTGTAATCCTTAGTGAAGTTTACCACATGAATGGCATGTAGTAGGCACTCAATAAATACTTGCTGAATGGATTATGAAACAATGATCTGTAAGGCCCCTTTCAGCTAAAATCAATAACTATTAGATATTAGGTAATAGAAACAACAACCACAAAATTATAAAGGGAGAGGCTTTTATTTTTGGGTCTAGGAAATATTTAACGCTTCACTATGCTCAAACTAACCAAATGGCTCCATTCCAAGAATTTTAGTTAGAACTTGACTGATGCAATCTCTTAGGAACTAGCACCCTCCCAAGGGTGCTTTCAGATTTGCCTTACTAATCTTTTTTATTAACCCACACCCTTATATATGTTTACTGATTTTTTAGAGAGAGGGGAAGGGGGGAAGGGAGAGGGAAGAAGGAGGAGGGGAGAAGAGAGAGAAACTTCAATCAGTTGCCTCCCAAACATGTAGTTGCCTCCTATACATGTACATGCCCAGAGCCGGGATTGAATCTGAAACCTAGGTATGTGCCCTAACTGGGAATCTAATCATGCATGGGACAAGGCTCTAACCAACTGAGCCACCTGGCCAGAGCTGCCTTAGCAATTTTACAACCTAGGCCCAATTTCTATCTAATAATTGATCAGTCACATATATTATCTGAGGAGCTTTTTATTTTTTAAAAAAATGTTTTTATTGCCCAGTCATTGTGACTCAGTGGTTGAGCATCGACCTATGAACCAGAGTTTGATTCCTGGTCAGAGCACGTGCCTGCCTGGCTTGATCCCCAATAGGGGACATGCAAGAGGCAGTTAATCAATTATTCTTTCATCATTAATGTATCTCTTTCCCTCTCTGAAATCAATAAAAGTATATTAAAAATGTTTTTTTTTATTGATTTTGGAGAAAGAGGAAGGGAGAGAGAGAAACATCAATGGGCTGCCTTCTGACCGGCCCCAACCAGGGATCAAACCCGGAAACCTATGTGCCCTGACCCGGAATCCAACCAGTGACATCTCTGTGCATTGTTCCAAGTACCAGGAGGTTGTTGGTTGATTCCAGTCAGGGCACATGCCTGGGTTGTGGGTTCGATCCCCCGTAGAAGCATGTCTGAGGAAATGTGTGGGAGGCAGCCAGTTGATGATTCTCTTTCATCAATGTTTCTCTCTCTCTCTCTCCCTTTCTCTCTATGAAATCAATAAAAACATTTTTTATAAAAATACAAAATTTTGGATCAAAACTCCAGAAAAATCTTATTTGGTACTTGTGTAATGAGGCTCTGGAATGTATGTATTTAAAACTTTGCTATTTTGAACAGATAGTATATGTATGTAGTACACAATTCAAAAGGAACAGAAAAGTTATAGCAAAGTTTCCTTTCACTTCTGCCTCCCTGCTTCAAGTTCACGTTTCCTTAAGTTGTCACTGTTACCAGTTTCTTTGGTATTCTTCCAGATAATTATTTGTCTAAGCAAGTATACTGTATATCCTTTGCTTACACTCACAGTTGCATATTTCAAGAACTATTTTTCCCCCAATTCCCATTTAACAATTATGTTGAAAATGAAGGTGTCTTTGTCTTTTTCACAAGCCCCCCAGGCGGTTCTGAGGTGACGCTGAATATAGGAACCACTCACTGGCCTAGGGTTAAGGGGTTAAGTTCAACTCACATTAGAAATTCAAGGATATTGAAAAAGATGCCCTCAAAATGGCCTGGCTTACTTGACCTCTGCTCTCGTCTTAAGGCACATCAACTGCAACAGTCTCTAAATGTCTCCGTAAGCCAGGAAAAAACAGTCGTTCAAGTGGATGTTGCCAAAGCCGTTCCATTTTCAATTCCTGGATCCCTTTCCCGCCCAGCTATCACCCGAAACCACACACCTGACAAGCCCCGCGTTACACAGGCACTGTGGTATGTATCTGGGTTAGAATGAAGTCTGATTTACGCTGCTTTTCTCTGCTGGCAGTTACGCTGCTCAGTGGGGCACCTCTGCAACACTCCCCTTCCTGGCCCTCCCTGGGACCACGGCGTCCCCCTCACCCCCAGATCTGCTTTCTTCCATCCGGGCTCCAGCAGACCGACCTCTCCGCTATGGAGGGTCTGGCTGGGTCCCCGTGCGGCTCTAGCTTTCCCTTCCCACCTGCCCTGGAGGCGGCAGGAAGTTTCCTTCGGCCGGAGGGCCGGCTCCCCCAGGGCCGCCCGAGGATCCGCGCAGTGTCCCTCCCTCCGCGGGCACCGCGCGGCAGCATCTGCCTCGGCGCCGAGGAAGGAGCCGGGGGCTCGCCCAGCCAGGCCGGGGCCCACCCGGATGCAGCGCCGGCTCTCCCCACCCCCGGCGGAGGGGCCCCGGAGGCACCAGGAAGGGCGTGATTCCTCCCCATCCCTCCCGCCGGGACTCAGACGGAGAATGGGGCACCGGGCCCCCCTCCTCCACTCCGCGTTTCTCCATCCTCCGGGCCTACGCCGCCCCCGAGCCTCGGCCCAGGCCTCCGCGCCGCGGCCGGCCGGCCCCCTCCCGCCGCCGCCGGCTCCCTCACCCAGCATGATGGGGCTGAGCCGCCGGGCCAGGCCCTTGGACAGGTCGTACACGTAGAGCTTCACCGGATAGAGGTTCGACGGCTCCATCGGGACCCGTGGCGGCCGCGGCCACGACGCCCCTCTGGCACCCGGCAGCGGCTCGGACCTGCCCGGACCCACCGGGGTGGGGAGCGGAAGGAGCGCGGGGGGACCAAGCCCGGGCCCGGCCTGAGGGCGGGGAAGAGGCGGTCCTGCCCCCGCTCGCAGCCCCACGCGGCTCGCGCTCCCCGCCCGCCACCGGCAACGACTACTGTGAGGTGACAGAGCCGGGACGAGCGGGGTCCGCGCGGAAGAGGGCCAGGGGCGGGGACGCGCTTCGGCGCATGTGCGCGCCATCCCGGCCGGCCGCGAGGGGCGGGGCTTCGCCGGAGGGGGCGGGGCTTTCGCTGTTCCTTAACGACTCGTGTGAAAAGCAGCCCGTGGGAGTGGGCGTGTCCTTTGACAGGAAGAGTACGCGCTGTGCGTGATGACGTAGGACGCCGTTTGGAAGGGAGACCTGGAGCCCGCGCTACCCGCGCTGCACCTGCAGCCCCAGCAGACCTCTTCCTGGCGCTCGAGGTGGGCGGGAGCCGTCGGTGCTGTGCGTGCTGCTGGCGGGTCAGGGTGCGGCCCGAGTGTAGAGACAGTCTCTGGCCCCCGGGCCCGCCGCCTGGGGGAGGTGGCACGCAGCCGTGGAGGGCCGCCTGCACTTGAGACTGACTCCACTGGGCATGGCCGGCTGAGGAGTGGAGGGCGGCTTGGGGGCGGGAGGAGGACAGATGGGTCCACCGGAGGGCCGAGTATCCTGGAGCGTGAATCCCTCAAGTCCCGATGGTGCTCACGGTGGAACGGAACTTTTCCACCCTGAGCCACCACCTTACGGGATGACTAAGGCGAGGCTGCTGGAAGGATGCCCACTCACCTCGGGGTCGCAGTTACCGGGAGTTCTCCAGGCAGCAGGACCCGGCGGCCACACTCCTCACGAGTAACCACTAGATCTCAAAGGAATATATATTTTTAGGTTTAAATTTGCTCGATGCTGAACTTAACTTTTTCTTTTAATCCAGTGACCAGTTGCCAACATGTCAGGGTGGGAGTCTTTTTACAAAAACGAGGGCGATGAAGAGGAAGAGCAGGAGGAGGGCCTGGACGCAGGCGGTAGGTGACTTTAGATGTTCGGTTGTGCACGCGGAAGACTTCCCTGCCTGTCTGCGGGGTGCCCTGTGCTGTCCAATGGCCTCCGTCTCTCCTGAGGACCTCAGATGCCTTTCCCCCTGTGCACTTTGCAGAGCTGCCCTGGGCTCTTCTCTCCATGTCCTGCTCTGGACTATGGGACGTTGCTAGCTTAAACTTGCTGGGCACTGACTGGTAGATTGCCATCTGAGGAGCTCCAATAAATGGCCCTGAACAGTGGTATCTTTTGTTACCTTAGGTGACTCGGGGAAGCCTCTTCATGTTCCAGGAAAGTAGTTTTCTGTTGTTGTTTTTTAATCCTGTTAGGTCATGTCTTAGTTGATTTTAGAGAAGAGGGAGTGGGAGTAACATCTATCAATTTACCTCCCACATGCACCCCAATCAGGGATCGAACCCACAACCTAGGTATGTGCCCTGACCAGAAATCAAACCTGAAGCCTTTCAATGTTTGGGAGGATGCTCCAACCACTGAGCCACCCGTCCAGGGCCCAGCAAAATAGTTTTACTCATTCTAATACCTCAGTACAAAAATGTCTTTCTACAATAATTGCAGCAACTAGAGTACTAGTAAACATTAGCAACACAGTTACAGCTGCCAGTCCCTTACCATAACCTCCAGGTTTAGGGGTATATGTTCAGCCAACACACTAGCACATAGGACAAAGAAAGAGATAGAAGGGATACACATATCTGTATACTGTTTAATTTAAAGTCTGAAAACTTTAAAATGTTTTTATTAGAATAGAGAAACAGGAAATATTGGAAACTGAATGTTTATTATCTATATAATCTATCACCCTAACACAACTACTATTAGCATTTTGGCATTCTGCATATTTTCTAGCTACCTATATCTGTTTTTCTTTGTAACTGAGTTTTTATATAGCTGTAATCATAGTGCATATACAACACATTTAAAAAAATTTTTTTGTTAATCCTCACCTGAGGAGCCGAAACCGGTTTGGCTCAGTGGTAGAGCGGCGGTCTGCAGACTGAAAGGTTCGATTCCGGTCAGGGGCATGTACATGGGTTGCAGGCACATCCCCGGTAGGGGGTGTGCAAGAGGCAGCTGATCGATGTTTCTCTCATCATCGATGTTTCTAGCTCTCTCTCTCTCTCTCCCTTCCTCTCTGTAAAAAAAAAAAAAAAAAAAAAAATCCTCACCTGAGGATATTTTTTCCATTCATTTTTAGAGATAGCAGAAGGGAGGGAGAGGGGGAGAGAGAGAGAGAGAGAGAGAAACAGAGATGTGAGAGAGACACATCTATTGGTTGCCTCCCGAATGTGCCCTGACTGGGACTAGGGATTGAACCTGCAACCCTTCTGATGTGTGGGCTGACACTCTAACCACTGAGAACACTGGCCAGGGCTGGATATTTTTATAATTTTCAATTTTGTATTTTAATAAATAATATTGGGGGAAATTTTGCATAAGGGTTTTTTCATATGTTATTTTCTTAAGATAGTAAGAAATGTCCCCTCCATGGGGAATTCAACTGGGGGTTTGACCAGGGGGTGGGGCCGGCCAGCCAACCTTCTATGGCTCCTTCCACCTGCTGGCTCCATTCCTGATCCCACCCCTCTCCCCTGCACCTCAGTTGGGGGCAGGACTAGCCTACCAACTGCCCGAGGCCCCTCTCCCCTGGCTGGCTCAGCTTGATTGCCCCTATCAGGCTATACTTCTGCTTAATGGGCTTTTCTCTATTTGTTTTATATAAATAATAAACATGATAAATATGAATATAAGGGCAAGCATTTTTTCCTTTTTTTTTTTTTTTCCCTTTCTCCCTGTAGGAGAATATACATATTCAGGAAGAGATAGTTTGATTTTTTTGGTTGATGCTTCCAGGGCCATGTTTAAATCAGAAGATGAAGATGAAATGACTCCTTTTGACATGAGCATTCAGGTAAGACTTCACCTTTTTATTTAAAATAAACAAAACTCCAAAGTATTTAGCACCACTTTTAAAAACTGGGCTCTGTGTGAAAATTTTGTTTGTGGATGATACATGGTGGTTAGCCTCCCGGATGGCTGTGTGTGAAAGTGGGGCGGTGCTGGAGAACAGGCCATTTTATTCTGGGTTTGAACTCCAGACCCGAGGAATACATTGCTCCCACCTTCAGCATTAGCCCTGGTGGTAGAAGTGCCTAATTATTGTATGGAAATGAGTCCGCTTGTAAGTGATATTTGGAAGTTGGGTGATACCTGTGTTTGAAAAAGATTATTACAACAAAAAGACCAAAAACCAATTAAAAAATGGGCACAGGACTTGAATATACATGTCTCTAAAGAAATGCAAACAGCCAACAAACACAGGAGAAGATTCTGAACACCTTTAGTCATTAGAGAAATGCAGATCAAAACCACAATGAGATATCTCACCCACTAGATGGCTATAATTACACAAAAAAAGGAGGAACATAAGGAGGTGGAGCCGAAACCGGTTTGGCTCAGTGGATAGAGCATTGGTCTGCGGACTGAAGGGTCCCAGGTTTGATTCCTGTCAAGGGCATGTACATTGGTTGCGGGCACATCCCCAGTAGGGAGTGTGCAGGAGGCAGCTGGTCGATGATTCTCTCTCATCGATGTTTCTAACTATCTATCCCTCTCCCTTCCTCTCTGTGAAAAATCAATAAAATATATTAAAAAAAAAAAAAAAAGGATGTGGAGAAACTGGAAGCCTCATCCATTGATAGTGGGAACGTAAAATGGATCAGCTGCTGTGGAAAACAGTTCCTCAGAATTCAGTATAGAATTCCAGTCTGACCCAGCAATTCTCCCAGGTGTATACCCAACAGAATCAGGTACTCAGATTCTGATTCTGCCACTTAATAAACTGTCTGATGTTTAATGTTTGAAGAGTTGCCCAACCTTTTGGTATCTGTTTTCTCATCTGTGAAATGGAGAGAATACTAGTATCTTCCATCCAAGTTGTGAGAATTAGTTTGTTTAAAAATTTTTTTTTAACTTAAAAAATATTTGTATTGATTTTTAGCGAGAGGGGAAGGGAGGGGGGGAGAGAGAGAGAGAGAGAGAGAAAGAAAGAGAGAGAGAGAGAGAAACACATAGATGTGAGAGTGAACCTTTGATGGCTGCCTCCTGCCCATGTGCCCTGCCTGAGAACGGAAACAGCGACCTTATAGGACGATGTTCTGACTATCTGAGCACCTGGCCAGGGCTAGTTTAGTTTTTTAAAATGAGGTGTAATTCACATAACAAAATTAACCTTGTGAAGTGTACCCATCAAAGGTACTTAGTCATTCACAATGTGTGTAACCACCACTTCTGTCTCATTCCAAAACATTTTGAAGTGAATAAACAAAATAGTTATACCTACCCTGTAATATTACTCGGACATAAAAAGAAATGAAAATACTGTACATGCTACAAGGCAAATGAACATGGAAAACATATTAAATGAAAGAAGCCAGACAAATGAAATGTCTAACAGATAGTCCATAGAGGATGCAGGCTGGGCGTTCCTAGGGGCAGCGGGGGGAGGGAGGAACGGGTTATGGCCTTCGCTGTGGAGGTGGTAGAAATATTTTGGAACTACATAGAGGTGGTGGTTACACAACATTGTGAGTTTGTTAAATACTACTGAGCTGCTCACTTTATTTTTTATTTTATTTATTTATTTTTTTAAAATTTTTTATTTATCCGAGCTGCTCACTCTAAAACGATCAACTTTGTTCTATGAATTACACCTGAATGAAAAAGGCCACTATTCATAGAAAAGCATTTCTAAACATTCACTGTATATCTCAGGTTTCTTTTTTTTTAGAGTTTGGCACCAAACAAGCTTCTCATGTTCTGGTTTGTATACAGACAGTTCTTAGAGTTGGCAGATCAGAATATCTTGGCCTCTAAAAACAGAATGAGCTGGGACCGGTTTGGCTCAATGGATAGAGCGTCGGCTTGGGGACTGAAAGGTCCCGGGTTTGATTCCGGTCAAGGGCATGTACCTTGGTTATGGGCATATCCCCAGTAGGGGGTGTGCAAGAGGCAGCTGATCGATGACTCTCTCTCATCGATGTTTCTAACTCTTTATCTCTCTTCCTTCCTCTCTGTACAAAATCAATAAAATAAAAATAAAAATTTAAAAACAGAATGAATAAAAATCAATCCTTAATTTTAAAGCAGTGGTTTCAAACTTTAACCT